GGCTTGTCACTTTACTACCTTAATCGGTACTTACTTACACTACACCTAATAACACTTTCTCTAGCTAAATTTAGGAAAGAATCGTTGTTGAACTTTTTATTGACAAAGTAAAATAGGTGTGGTGTGAGCAAGCACAACTACAATGTGCTGCTCTGAGTGCATCCAAATGAGACTGAATCGAACCCTTTTATTGTAGATTTGAAGAGGGAGCTGAGCAGTTTCGATTTGATGTTGCGCAAAATCCAAATGACACGGAAGAGTCCATATGGTGCTTTCTGTGTGAAGCTCAACTATATGGAGTGGATGAAGCAAGGAAGCGATTTCTTGAGGCAAGTAGCTGCTTCTATTTCTAGCCACTAGGAAGTGAACATGAAATGGAATGTTTACACATGCAGATAATTATCATCTTTCTAAATGAATTTAGGTTGGCATAGACCCGAGGCCAGTCATGCGAGAAGCATATAACATGTTCAAAGATGGTGGGGATCCTGAAAAGGTGTGCTGTAGTTACATTCTTAATTAGTGTGCAGTTATTTCTGTTATGTATATAACCATGCTTAATTCTCCCCTTTATAGCTTGAGCTAGTTTTAGGAGAGTTGTTGTTGGTCCGTGACCATTTCTAAAGCATGCAGTGTTTTTTTTTCATACACATTCACCTCTTAATTTGGTCCCCAAAATCGAGTCCTCTCATACTTAAACTAAGATTATGTTGGCAACTTGTTAATCTGGTCTAATTTTCACGAATTATGATATATTTTGTAGGACAGATTGTGTAAGATTCCCTAACATTTTACTCAACTATACAATCCTGCTTCATTTATACAATAATATGGAACCGTATTTCCCTTCTGTTAGCATAGACCACCCCTGAATATATCGTTGTTATATGAAGAGAGGGAGATTGTTGTAATGTTGAAAAGATGAAGGATATCAAGTATAATTATGTTAAATCTCAGGGTTGTTAGTAATTTTCTCTCTATTTCTTATGTTTGCACAAATGCTTAACTTGAGCTTGTCCCCTTGAAGACGAATCAATATGCTGTCATGCCCTATGTGAAGCGGGCATTGCTTTGTTCCTAATCAGTTCTGCCTATTATTAACTATAATATAGAGTGTGTAATGAAAAATTCACTTATTTTTAGTGAGTAAATAAGAAGTAGGAAATTAGCATAGAGGACTTTCTGAGGCTGATATTTATCATCAAGGATCTGTTAACCAGATCAGCAGCACACTGACAATCAATTCAAAAACTAGGAAGATAACGCTATTCAAATTGAAATAGAAAGTCAAAATTTGAACTTTGTTAGAATTAGAAGTAGAGGACCAAAAGTTCAAAGCCTAATTTTGTTTCATTTTTTTTAATGTGAGTTTTGGATTCGATAATCTCTTTTGTCTAGTGGTAAAATTTTGTGTGTCTGACAGTTAGATTAAGGTAATCTTACAATTTTTCCCGTTGGTTATTTGATCAGAATCAGAATTGTAAACTTAAAAACAGGTTTGCAGTAACTCTACTTTCAGTTCCCTGCAAAGGCACTAGAATATTTTTATTTGTCTTGTTATTGGCCATCCATTATTCCTTATGCCTCTGTAGATGCAATCTGATGAGGGCAATTGATTTACCTGTCTAGCTTGTAGCTGCATTCTCTGGTGGAAGAGATAGTGAGTATTTTTATGCTTCATTATATGCTGGGCTTTATTACGAATCTCAGGTATTCTTGCAACTTCCAATCCTAAACATATTAAGAAATTATTATTTAGTACAATGATTTACATCATTATCCCAATGGAACTCTGTTTGGTTTACATAGCCTCTGTTAGGTGGAAAATTTATGGGGATGGTGATTTGACAGAATTGATTTTTTCTATATTTTTTTTTTTACAAAAGGAAAAATCAGATATATGTTGTTAAAATGATAATTGTACCAACTTAGCAAGAATTCAACAAGATCTTCTCTGCACCAATGAATTTATTAATAAGAAGCTGGTTTTCTTGTCTGTTATTTGATTGTTTAAAAGATTTTAAGGTGCAAAATTCTTGGATTGAATCCCTGCAATTGCTTTATTCCTCTTTCTGGACACCTTGCATGGCGAAACATTTCCAACAATAAAAAGAACGCACCAACGAAGAAGCTCATATTAGATAGGATAACCATTCATTAGTTTACACACTTTGTTATTAGTTTTTGGAATTGGTGAGACAGTTACAAGTTTGAACAAAGTGGACCAAACTGGAATATTGTGTATTAACCTGCCATCTTGTTCTGTCAGAAGAATTGTACTTTTTATGGTTTTTATTTGGTTTTAAGTTGCTTTATGAATTTCGTAGTAATGATTTTTCCATGGGTAGAATGAAATAGATGCTGCCAAAGTTCATACAGTTGCTGCATGCCAGTCTTCTTATGGGCAAAGGTTTGGTTTTGAATAAGTACACATTTCTTAGCCAGTGAAAAGAGTGCAAATTCGGAACATGAAAGGTGCATATTCATTCTTTAATACAGGTCTGATGATTATATGGCAGCTCTTTCCAAGGTTCACTGTCAATGTCGGAATTGGGTGTTCAACTAAAACTTTTTGCAGTGTGACCATTGTTCACGATGAAACTGCTAAGTGTCTCTATGTTCCACAAACATATTGAGTTACTATGCTGCTGGAACGGTTAAAAGAATTTTTCATATTGCTTTATTCTATTACTTCTTCACTTGATGTTGTGGCCTATATGAATATTAGTAAAAATTTTAAACATGGAAATTATTTTAACAATGAGATAATCTTTAGTTGATTAATATACTATTTGATTTCTAAAAGGTTGATTTCTCACCAATTTGGTCTTCGAAATAACACTTTGGTCAGCTTATTACGGCCATAGTGAAATGTAGCCCCGGAATTTCGTTTCATCAAATTTTGAAACTTGGTCAATAGATATGTATAATCTGTTTGATTAAATTGATGTAATTAGAATCTCTACTTTTGTATGTTATCATTTTGGAATTTAATGACTAAAAAAAGAGAGACATAAGTTTCTTTTGATTTGACATATGGGATAATTTTTCTTACCATAACAACAACTATACTAGTCCATAATACGGATCGGCCACCGCGTTGACACCGTTTCCATATTCATACTCAGTTTCCATATTCATATTCAGTTTCCATATCCATATTCATAGTCAATAGATATAGGATATAGTCAATAGATATAACATGTTTTATCTTATATTTATTCCAGTCAAATAACTGCTATACTTTCTGTACCTATGTATATATTTTTATTTTCTTATTATTTTAATATTAATTAATTATTTTTATAAAAAAATAAAAAACACATTAAAAATATAAAAATATCAAATATTCAATATAAAAAAGATATATTCTCATATATTTAGTGCCAAATATTTAAAAAGGCATTATATTAGTATAAATTTCAAATCAAAATACAAAATAATAATTAGATCAGTGTAAAATAATTATATAAAATATTTCATAATTAACTTAAATCAAATTTCATAACCAAAACATGTATAGATTTTGCTAACATCAATGAAAAATATTGATAAAATTAAAATTTATTTTAAAAAATTATAAAAAGAAAACAAATATTTAAGTTTAAAAGTATTTCAAATGTTTCTTCACTATTCTTTTTATAGACTGATAAAATTATATAGCGTAGAAAAAAAATTAAACTAATAATAATTTACATTTAGACATAAATCTTTTATTTTTTTTAATTTCAGTGTTAAATGGTGCAAAGAAAATTAATGATAATAACATTAATTTATTATATAATAAATGATAATAAAGCCTATTTTAGTAAAACAAGTTTTTTAAATGAAACAAAAACTAAAAAATAAAAAAGAATTAAAGAAGATAAATTTTTATATTACCTAATAAATAAGTTATTTGCATGATTAAACACTTAAAATTGAAAGTTAAATTTTTTTATACGAAAAAAGATAACAATAAATAAAAATATTAAAAATTTGTAAAAATAATNAGTGTGCAGTTATTTCTGTTATGTATATAACCATGCTTAATTCTCCCCTTTATAGCTTGAGCTAGTTTTAGGAGAGTTGTTGTTGGTCCGTGACCATTTCTAAAGCATGCAGTGTTTTTTTTTCATACACATTCACCTCTTAATTTGGTCCCCTAAATCGAGTCCTCTCATACTTAAACTAAGATTATGTTGGCAACTTGTTAATCTGGTCTAATTTTCACGAATTATGATATATTTTGTAGGACAGATTGTGTAAGATTCCCTAACATTTTACTCAACTATACAATCCTGCTTCATTTATACAATAATATGGAACCGTATTTCCCTTCTGTTAGCATAGACCACCCCTGAATATATCGTTGTTATATGAAGAGAGGGAGATTGTTGTAATTTTGAAAAGATGAAGGATATCAAGTATAATTATGTTAAATCTCAGGGTTTTTAGTAATTTTCTCTCTATTTCTTATGTTTGCACAAATGCTTAACTTGAGCTTGTCCCCTTGAAGATGAATCAATATGCTGTCATGCCCTATGTGAAGCGGGCATTGCTTTGTTCCTAATCAGTTCTGCCTATTATTAACTATAATATAGAGTGTGTAATGAAAAATTCACTTATTTTTAGTGAGTAAATAAGAAGTAGGAAATTAGCATAGAGGACTTTCTGAGGCTGATATTTATCATCAAGGATCTGTTAACCAGATCAGCAGCACACTGACAATCAATTCAAAAACTAGGAAGATAACGCTATTCAAATTGAAATAGAAAGTCAAAATTTGAACTTTGTTAGAATTAGAAGTAGAGGACCAAAAGTTCAAAGCCTAATTTTGTTTCATTTTTTTTAATGTGAGTTTTGGATTCGATAATCTCTTTTGTCTAGTGGTAAAATTTTGTGTGTCTGACAGTTAGATTAAGGTAATCTTACAATTTTTCCCGTTGGTTATTTGATCAGAATCAGAATTGTAAACTTAAAAACAGGTTTGCAGTAACTCTACTTTCTGTTCCCTGCAAAGGCACTAGAATATTTTTATTTGTCTTGTTATTGGCCATCCATTATTCCTTATGCCTCTGTAGATGCAATCTGATGAGGGCAATTGATTTACCTGTCTAGCTTGTAGCTGCATTCTCTGTTGGAAGAGATAGTGAGTATTTTTATGCTTCATTATATGCTGGGCTTTATTACGAATCTCAGGTATTCTTGCAACTTCCAATCCTAAACATATTAAGAAATTATTATTTAGTACAATGATTTACATCATTATCCCAATGGAACTCTGTTTGGTTTACATAGCCTCTGTTAGGTGGAAAATTTATGGGGATGGTGATTTGACAGAATTGATTTTTTCTATATTTTTTTTTTTACAAAAGGAAAAATCAGATATATGTTGTTAAAATGATAATTGTACCAACTTAGCAAGAATTCAACAAGATCTTCTCTGCACCAATGAATTTATTAATAAGAAGCTGGTTTTCTTGTCTGTTATTTGATTGTTTAAAAGATTTTAAGGTGCAAAATTCTTGGATTGAATCCCTGCAATTGCTTTATTCCTCTTTCTGGACACCTTGCATGGCGAAACATTTCCAACAATAAAAAGAACGCACCAACGAAGAAGCTCATATTAGATAGGATAACCATTCATTAGTTTACACACTTTGTTATTAGTTTTTGGAATTGGTGAGACAGTTACAAGTTTGAACAAAGTGGACCAAACTGGAATATTGTGTATTAACCTGCCATCTTGTTCTGTCAGAAGAATTGTACTTTTTATGGTTTTTATTTGGTTTTAAGTTGCTTTATGAATTTCGTAGTAATGATTTTTCCATGGGTAGAATGAAATAGATGCTGCCAAAGTTCATACAGTTGCTGCATGCCAGTCTTCTTATGGGCAAAGGTTTGGTTTTGAATAAGTACACATTTCTTAGCCAGTGAAAAGAGTGCAAATTCGGAACATGAAAGGTGCATATTCATTCTTTAATACAGGTCTGATGATTATATGGCAGCTCTTTCCAAGGTTCACTGTCAATGTCGGAATTGGGTGTTCAACTAAAACTTTTTGCAGTGTGACCATTGTTCACGATGAAACTGCTAAGTGTCTCTATGTTCCACAAACATATTGAGTTACTATGCTGCTGGAACGGTTAAAAGAATTTTTCATATTGCTTTATTCTATTACTTCTTCACTTGATGTTGTGGCCTATATGAATATTAGTAAAAATTTTAAACATGGAAATTATTTTAACAATGAGATAATCTTTAGTTGATTAATATACTATTTGATTTCTAAAAGGTTGATTTCTCACCAATTTGGTCTTCGAAATAACACTTTGGTCAGCTTATTACGGCCATAGTGAAATGTAGCCCCGGAAATTCGTTTCATCAAATTTTGAAACTTGGTCAATAGATATGTATAATCTGTTTGATTAAATTGATGTAATTAGAATCTCTACTTTTGTATGTTATCATTTTGGAATTTAATGACTAAAAAAAGAGAGACATAAGTTTCTTTTGATTTGACATATGGGATAATTTTTCTTACCATAACAACAACTATACTAGTCCATAATACGGATCGGCCACCGCGTTGACACCGTTTCCATATTCATACTCAGTTTCCATATTCATATTCAGTTTCCATATCCATATTCATAGTCAATAGATATAGGATATAGTCAATAGATATAACATGTTTTATCTTATATTTATTCCAGTCAAATAACTGCTATACTTTCTGTACCTATGTATATATTTTTATTTTCTTATTATTTTAATATTAATTAATTATTTTTATAAAAAAATAAAANTATATATATATATATATATATATATAGATGAGATAACATTTCTGGTCACAAAATTTGACACCTGATCTTAGCTTCCAACCACAACCATGTCAGCCTTCATGTCCATTTCCCACAACCTTAAACCCTCGATATTGGTGTCTCCTTCTCTTCACCACTCTTCCTCATTCCCAATACTACTGTCTTCCAAACAACCCTTCTCTCTCACTCATCCTTTAAACCTCACACGAAGACTCTTCCTTCCCTCGGTTTCCGGCATCTGGGACGCTCTCACCGGCGCCAGTAACAATGCCCGTGAAGCCGTTCTCGCAATTCGACGCGGAATGTCTCTTTTCCGTCAGGTTTCTTCTTCAATTCTACTTTTTCATCGTCACCTTTTTCTTTTCCATTTTGTACCACTTTGGGCATGTATCATTGCTGCTTATTTTTATGTTATGATGTGTTGCTGTTACTCATACAACATTTTATTCAGTAACACTTTTTGTGTCTATCTCTGTTCATTATGAATTGTTGTACATGTAACATTTGTAGTTAATTTATTGTTAAGGGTGATGTTTCGGGGTCTCTTGTGGAGTTCGACAAGGCAATTCAGTTGGATCCTCGTCAAAAGGCGTGTAGGTTTATACACTTCTGGAAAACGATTCATGAATTCACTTTGATATTTCGGTTATGAGACATTGTGATTGTTACCAGATCTTTGGCAAAGGGGCTTGTCACTTTACTACCTTAATCGGTACTTACTTACACTACACCTAATAACACTTTCTCTAGCTAAATTTAGGAAAGAATCGTTGTTGAACTTTTTATTGACAAAGTAAAATAGGTGTGGTGTGAGCAAGCACAACTACAATGTGCTGCTCTGAGTGCATCCAAATGAGACTGAATCGAACCCTTTTATTGTAGATTTGAAGAGGGAGCTGAGCAGTTTCGATTTGATGTTGCGCAAAATCCAAATGACACGGAAGAGTCCATATGGTGCTTTCTGTGTGAAGCTCAACTATATGGAGTGGATGAAGCAAGGAAGCGATTTCTTGAGGCAAGTAGCTGCTTCTATTTCTAGCCACTAGGAAGTGAACATGAAATGGAATGTTTACACATGCAGATAATTATCATCTTTCTAAATGAATTTAGGTTGGCATAGACCCGAGGCCAGTCATGCGAGAAGCATATAACATGTTCAAAGATGGTGGGGATCCTGAAAAGGTGTGCTGTAGTTACATTCTTAATTAGTGTGCAGTTATTTCTGTTATGTATATAACCATGCTTAATTCTCCCCTTTATAGCTTGAGCTAGTTTTAGGAGAGTTGTTGTTGGTCCGTGACCATTTCTAAAGCATGCAGTGTTTTTTTTTCATACACATTCACCTCTTAATTTGGTCCCCAAAATCGAGTCCTCTCATACTTAAACTAAGATTATGTTGGCAACTTGTTAATCTGGTCTAATTTTCACGAATTATGATATATTTTGTAGGACAGATTGTGTAAGATTCCCTAACATTTTACTCAACTATACAATCCTGCTTCATTTATACAATAATATGGAACCGTATTTCCCTTCTGTTAGCATAGACCACCCCTGAATATATCGTTGTTATATGAAGAGAGGGAGATTGTTGTAATGTTGAAAAGATGAAGGATATCAAGTATAATTATGTTAAATCTCAGGGTTGTTAGTAATTTTCTCTCTATTTCTTATGTTTGCACAAATGCTTAACTTGAGCTTGTCCCCTTGAAGACGAATCAATATGCTGTCATGCCCTATGTGAAGCGGGCATTGCTTTGTTCCTAATCAGTTCTGCCTATTATTAACTATAATATAGAGTGTGTAATGAAAAATTCACTTATTTTTAGTGAGTAAATAAGAAGTAGGAAATTAGCATAGAGGACTTTCTGAGGCTGATATTTATCATCAAGGATCTGTTAACCAGATCAGCAGCACACTGACAATCAATTCAAAAACTAGGAAGATAACGCTATTCAAATTGAAATAGAAAGTCAAAATTTGAACTTTGTTAGAATTAGAAGTAGAGGACCAAAAGTTCAAAGCCTAATTTTGTTTCATTTTTTTTAATGTGAGTTTTGGATTCGATAATCTCTTTTGTCTAGTGGTAAAATTTTGTGTGTCTGACAGTTAGATTAAGGTAATCTTACAATTTTTCCCGTTGGTTATTTGATCAGAATCAGAATTGTAAACTTAAAAACAGGTTTGCAGTAACTCTACTTTCAGTTCCCTGCAAAGGCACTAGAATATTTTTATTTGTCTTGTTATTGGCCATCCATTATTCCTTATGCCTCTGTAGATGCAATCTGATGAGGGCAATTGATTTACCTGTCTAGCTTGTAGCTGCATTCTCTGGTGGAAGAGATAGTGAGTATTTTTATGCTTCATTATATGCTGGGCTTTATTACGAATCTCAGGTATTCTTGCAACTTCCAATCCTAAACATATTAAGAAATTATTATTTAGTACAATGATTTACATCATTATCCCAATGGAACTCTGTTTGGTTTACATAGCCTCTGTTAGGTGGAAAATTTATGGGGATGGTGATTTGACAGAATTGATTTTTTCTATATTTTTTTTTTTACAAAAGGAAAAATCAGATATATGTTGTTAAAATGATAATTGTACCAACTTAGCAAGAATTCAACAAGATCTTCTCTGCACCAATGAATTTATTAATAAGAAGCTGGTTTTCTTGTCTGTTATTTGATTGTTTAAAAGATTTTAAGGTGCAAAATTCTTGGATTGAATCCCTGCAATTGCTTTATTCCTCTTTCTGGACACCTTGCATGGCGAAACATTTCCAACAATAAAAAGAACGCACCAACGAAGAAGCTCATATTAGATAGGATAACCATTCATTAGTTTACACACTTTGTTATTAGTTTTTGGAATTGGTGAGACAGTTACAAGTTTGAACAAAGTGGACCAAACTGGAATATTGTGTATTAACCTGCCATCTTGTTCTGTCAGAAGAATTGTACTTTTTATGGTTTTTATTTGGTTTTAAGTTGCTTTATGAATTTCGTAGTAATGATTTTTCCATGGGTAGAATGAAATAGATGCTGCCAAAGTTCATACAGTTGCTGCATGCCAGTCTTCTTATGGGCAAAGGTTTGGTTTTGAATAAGTACACATTTCTTAGCCAGTGAAAAGAGTGCAAATTCGGAACATGAAAGGTGCATATTCATTCTTTAATACAGGTCTGATGATTATATGGCAGCTCTTTCCAAGGTTCACTGTCAATGTCGGAATTGGGTGTTCAACTAAAACTTTTTGCAGTGTGACCATTGTTCACGATGAAACTGCTAAGGGTCTCTATGTTCCACAAACATATTGAGTTACTATGCTGCTGGAACGGTTAAAAGAATTTTTCATATTGCTTTATTCTATTACTTCTTCACTTGATGTTGTGGCCTATATGAATATTAGTAAAAATTTTAAACATGGAAATTATTTTAACAATGAGATAATCTTTAGTTGATTAATATACTATTTGATTTCTAAAAGGTTGATTTCTCACCAATTTGGTCTTCGAAATAACACTTTGGTCAGCTTATTACGGCCATAGTGAAATGTAGCCCCGGAAATTCGTTTCATCAAATTTTGAAACTTGGTCAATAGATATGTATAATCTGTTTGATTAAATTGATGTAATTAGAATCTCTACTTTTGTATGTTATCATTTTGGAATTTAATGACTAAAAAAAGAGAGACATAAGTTTCTTTTGATTTGACATATGGGATAATTTTTCTTACCATAACAACAACTATACTAGTCCATAATACGGATCGGCCACCGCGTTGACACCGTTTCCATATTCATACTCAGTTTCCATATTCATATTCAGTTTCCATATCCATATTCATAGTCAATAGATATAGGATATAGTCAATAGATATAACATGTTTTATCTTATATTTATTCCAGTCAAATAACTGCTATACTTTCTGTACCTATGTATATATTTTTATTTTCTTATTATTTTAATATTAATTAATTATTTTTATAAAAAAATAAAAAACACATTAAAAATATAAAAATATCAAATATTCAATATAAAAAAGATATATTCTCATATACTTAGTGCCAAATATTTAAAAAGGCATTATATTAGTATAAATTTCAAATCAAAATACAAAATAATAATTAGATCAGCGTAAAAAAATTATATAAAATATTTCATAATTAACGTAAATCAAATTTCATAACCAAAACATGTATAGATTTTGCTAACATCAATGAAAAATATTGATAAAATTAAAATTTATTTTAAAAAATTATAAAAAGAAAACAAATATTTAAGTTTAAAAGTATTTCAAATGTTTCTTCACTATTCTTTTTATAGACTGATAAAATTATATAGCGTAGAAAAAAAATTAAACTAATAATAATTTACATTTAGACATAAATCTTTTATTTTTTTTAATTTCAGTGTTAAATGGTGCAAAGAAAATTAATGATA